AATGAGAAATAACCTTCTCCGTGATTAAAGTTGTGCTTAGATCAGAAGTTTGGACATTCTATTTATTTTTCTTCAGTTATCACACTTGGCTTGTACCACATCACAGATTGAATAAGGAATAAAGCAAGGGTGGCCTGGTAGCAGCAAGCATTTGACTTGTCACTGAAAATGAGCTTACTGGATTTTGAATTGGTTACCTCATATCCCCAAGAACAATTTGCTTCCCCAAGAATAAAATGCTATGTACATTTTGCTTTTTGTTAAGAACAAGGCCAACTGTGATTAAGGTCAGCCTATCTTTTGGAATATGAATGTATTTTAAAAGGATTTCCATTTTCTAGGATACACAAGCAAGATATTCCTCAAGTCAATGAGGGATGAAAGTGCTCCAGAAATTATCTGTGATCCTGGATCTGTGAAAAACTGTGTGTGTGTGCGTGTGCGTGTGTGTGTGTATACAAAGCTCATTGAACAAAGTATGATAGAAAAGTAGTGTCTACCTTAGGATCAAATTGAAGTTTCCACACCATTTTTTCACCCTCGTTTGACTAGGTTCTCACAGTGGTCTCCAAGATTGTGCATTATCAGGTTGGGGGAGGGAGAGTCAAGGAAATATTTTACTCTGTTCTTTCTCCCTAGTTTCCCTGAGATCTCAAACTGGCAGCCAGCTGGCTGAAGCCTGCCCACAAACATGTTTTATTTGGCCCATGCAGTGCTTTTACAATGTTTGTGCCAACATTTTAATAGGAAGATTTCACATATGCATCTGCATTTCTGCATTGTCTTGAGAAATCAGAAGACATGGGAATAACTGGCTGGAGCTGAGGGGCAGTCATCTCCCTCCCCGTGGGGCACAGCTTCCTTCTGCACCTCCTTCCATGACTTCATGTGCTCACACCCAGACCAAGCGGTTATTTACCTGTTTGACTGCTGGAGGCGTCTGAGTTTGAGACTGGCTTAAGGCTGCCTTTGAGATTGCCTTAGTCTTCTGATTAATAACTAGGTTTTGTATAAAACTATCTTCTTGATCCCAGAGAGCCTTGTTACTTAATAATACACAGATATCTGACCATCAAATCTAATAATTTTCAGGTTCAAAGGATTTAGAATTTCTAATTTGGGCTTGAAGTTGGCAAGGAATGCAAATAAAAGAGAACATAAATGCCTAAAATGCTTATCTTTCCTTACAAACATTCAATTTCTGTTGTGTATCAGAGCTGGTCTGAAGCTGTAATTACAGTGGTGCTGTAACTAAACTTGTGCTTGCTGGTTCTGGAATTTGATGATAGAAAATGGATTTTTTTTTTGGCTTTGAGACAAAGAGTTGATTGATTAAAAAGGCATTATGGTATATGTAGACTTCTAGGATGTTATGATTTCTTTATGCTTTAGACAAAACCCTGAGGAAAATTTAATAGATTTGGGTTGTCTCTTTAATTCATGAGGCTGTAAATTTCTAATTTTAAATGTTTAATTATTTTGGTCAGGATAAAGGGCTGTGCAAATTCAGGTAGTCTTCCTTTCCATTTGTTCCAAACAACCCTTTTTGGTTATGGGCAAATCTCCTTGCCAAAACTCATATTCAACTTGTTGGAGGGCTAGCCTTTATCTTTCTACCTAAGGTCTTTGGAAGCCATTTTTAATCCCACTAAATTCTGCAGTTTAATTAAGATAGAGTGGCTGAAACAAGGTATTTAGTAATATCATAAATGTGAGGGTAATTAATATTTAATGTCTAAAAGAAAAAAACCAAAACTTGCCAGTGTGCTAACTTGGAACAATTATATTTCTTTCAAAACAATTTTGTTTTCACATACTGCTAGCCTAGCAATGAATTAGAATGCATAAAAGCTCAGGGGATTTGAATGTGGGAATGGATAAGTGTTTTATAATGAGGTAGAGAATTATTGCCCAATCTTAGAAATAAAAGCTCCACAAAATTATGAATGTCCAGATCAATAGCATTTTTTAATATTATAAATCACTTTTGGCAATGCTTATGTATGAGCAGAGAAGTGATCTAATGATTATGAAATTAGATTTTTTTCCTCTCTCTCTCTTTTTCTCTTCTATTTTTTTCCTCATAGAGGCAGCCAAAGGACGTTGGGTAAACCACTATAACTTGCTAAATATCCCCAACAGTGAAATTTTTAGAAATATGTTTGAATGTTCTGAGTACAGATTGTATTACTTCTGTAATTTTTTAGGCTGACCAGAGGTGACATCTATTTTTATGTGAAAAGTAAAAATGAGATACTCTGAAAGAGTTAATTTTGATAACTGCTTTTTTACTTTTTAAGTAATTTTATAGTTTTACTTGTCTTCAGGTGTTCTAAGACACAATGGAAAACAAAAGAAAACAAAATGAATTTCCTTTCCTAGACTATAAGGAAAAAGGCAATCTACTCCAAAAGAAATGGAAGTGAGAATATGCTTCATTAGGATTTTATCTAGCACATCTAGAGTTTAGAATAAACAACATTATGTATAGAAGAAAAGTGGAATATTTATAGTTGTTTGTTTTTTAAAAAGATGAAATCTCACTGAAGATTCTTTATATAGCTCCATTATGGGAAGAATCACCTGGACAGATGTTCAGAATAAAGTCATCATGGTCAAAAGCAAACATTTACCAATGCATGACAGTTTTTGTCTTCTTTTAGGCAGTTGCCTTCTCTTTATTAGTGCCTGACAATTTGCTAGTTAGAATAAAACCATACCTTATGCTGGTTTACTGCTTTAAAATTATGCCCATCTGAAAATGTCTAAATGTGCAGAAATGTACCTTTTAAAGGTTAGTCAATCTGAATTTAGAGCTGTAGGGAATTTAGGTTGCTAGGGGACTCTGTGGTTCTCCTTCAGAATTGTTAAAAAATTCTCTGGCAGCCTGTGAGCTCCCTGAGGGCAGGCACTGTGCTTATCTCTGTAGTATCTGCAACTCCTAACACAATTCTTGGCATATAGTATATGCTCACTTTTCTTATCTAACTGACAAGTGAAGGGGTAATCAGCTGCTAGTGTTTCTGTTGCTAATGTGTGACAGTTTCAGCACCTTGCAAGGCAAGTGTGCGACTTTGGGAGGTTAACCAAACAATCTTGCAAATTAATGTAAAATTCTTGCTTCACTAATCAGATTTTTATCTCTGTTATAGGGGGACAGCCCTCTTAGTTTTGTGAGCAGAGCATAGTTTGTGAAAGAGCCCATGGGTTTCAGGCCCAGGTGGTGTTTCTTTTGAATTCTTACGCATCTAGTTTGGACTAGCTTCATGGTTTTTGCCATATACTTCTCTGCACTGGAGCAGTCTGTCTGGAAGAAGGAACAGTGCCTTGTGTGCGTACGCGCGCGTGTGTGTGTGTGTGTGTGTGTGTATAAGTGAGCTAGTTTTTAGTATCACCTCTGTAACTGCCCATGTGACTTTGGCAACTCACTTAACCTCTAGGCCTCAAAGTTACTCCTTTCATGCTAAGGTTGGGATTCATAACTGCTATGGCCCCTTTAAACTTCAGTATACTATTTGAATGCATGGTTTAGCGCTTTTATTAGTCTGTATGTTCTTATGCATTTTTTTGGTGTGTGTTTTAAAAAACTTTTTATTATAGATAACTTTGACCACACACAGAAGCAGACAGATCAATAATATGAACCCTCAAGCATTTATCACCCAGCTCCAACGATCAATCCATCAACTCATAGCCAATTCTGTCCCATTCTGCCCCATCCTCTTACTGTCCTTATTATCTGGAAGCAAATCTTAGATAGTTATTATTTAATCTGTAAATATTTTGTATTTATATGTTTTTTCACCTCTCAGGCACCTAACATAGAACCTTGTATACATTAGGTAACAAGATGATGATTTTGAATAAACGAATGAGAGTGGGTTGGGAAAGGTAAGAGATGAAGCACCTCACCCCCCACCCCAAATTGTAACTATGTAAAACATTTTAAAAATTGTTAACCTATAATTTCTCAGGGTAGTGGAGGGGGAGGAGCCAAGGCTTCCAGAGATTGGGAATCCTAATGTGGTGTGGAATTTTAAAGGGCAACATTATCTGTTACATGTAATCACTGTATCACTAGGGAGCCCCAGCATGTTCCAAGAAGTTAAGGTACATGCCAAAGATAAGCAAAAAAAGACATGCAACCCTATGGGTGCATCTTGAGGAAATATATTAGTATTAGGAGATAGCACAACCTAAAGGCCAAACTGTGTTCATCTAACTTAATGGGAATTCAAAAATTTATGGGAAGGACTCGACACTTGATGCTTCTCTTTACTTTACACATTGCATTATGTTTTCTAAACATTCTTTATCCTTTATAATAGTCACTTTTCCTTCTTTCTTTTCTTTTCATTATTTTCCTAACAATGCTAAAGCACTCAAGGGAGTTTTGTTGAGCATTGAATTAGGTATAACATATTTTAGCCAAAGAAGTATGCATGCTTACTTTGAATGTATTACTCCCAAATGTATAGGCAATATAGTCTGTACCCACAAATAAAACAAAAACAAGAATAAAAAATTCTAAGTAAAAAACTTTCCTTTATGCACTAAAAGTATTGGGTAAGACTGTTAAAAGCAGTATTGTGTACAATAAATATAAAACTGCAAATATATACTATATGTATACTTACTATATATAGCAGATATAAAACTTCAAATAATCTAAATATCCTTTAACAACAGAATGGATAAGTGGAATACTATGCAGTAATTAAAAATAATAAACTGGCCGGGCGCGGTGGCTCAAGCCTGTAATCCCAGCACTTTGGGAGGCCGAGGTGGGTGGATCACGAGGTCAGGAGATCGAGACCATCCTGGCTAACATGGTGAAACCCCGTCTCTACTAAAAATACAAAAAACTAGTCGGGCGTGGTGGCGGGCGCCTGTAGTCCCAGCTACTCGGAGGCTGAGGCAGGAGAATGGCGTGAACCTGGGAGGCGGAGTTTGCAGTGAGCCGAGATCGCGCCACTGCACTCCAGCCTGGGTGACACAGCGCGAGACTCCGTCTCAAAAAAAAAAAAAAAAAATAAAAAAAATAAACTATGGCTACCTGCAACATTATGGATGTATTTTACAGACATAATGTTAAGTGAGAGATTATATGTTACACTACTCCATTTACATCAGATTCAAAAACAGGCAAAATGAATTTATGGAATCAGAAGTCAGGATAATGGTTAACTTGATGGGGAAGTAGGTGATGACTGCACAGAGCTTGAGAGAGGATTCTAGATACTGCAGATGTTCTATATTTTGAGTTGAGTGGTGGCTACACAGGTGTGCTCATTTCGTAAAATTTTATCAAGCTGTTCATTTAAGATCTATGTACTTCACAGTATGTAATTATATTTAAATGAAAAAGTAAAAGAAAAAATCCTTCCTTTTGATTACTTAGGAACACCTAAAGTTTAAATCTGTTGTCAGCCTGACCATATAAAAAATAAAACTTGCCTTACTAATCAGATTTTCTCTGTTATATAGGAGATAGACTTGGTAGACTGAGGAAGAAGTTATAGATACATAAAGTTTTTACTGTACAAAGTATTTGTCTCTCTGCCTCATGGGATAATAATCATCAACAGACTGTGAAATGATTGTTACAATAAAGTACTGGGAGCTGTGGAAAACTTATCATTATTTTCCTACAGGGTGCATAATTAATGGGTCATGTAAGGGAAGGTCCCGACTTAGAGTTGGATTATGTATTATACTTGCCAAAGTAGTATGACAAGAGGACTTCAGAATGAAGTTCAGCATATATTTAGTTGCAAGAGCAACTATAAATATAAGTAGCATTTTAATACAATGGAAATAAACCTAGGGCTGAATTGATAGGTGAATACAGTAAAAAGTGTATTGCCTTTAGAAAAGGTAAAGCAAGTGATATTCACATGATATAAATAGTAACACTTTTAGATAGGAGATAATTCTTCCCTATATCAAGTTGAGTAGGGCTATTTTGGGTATCATGTGCAGAACGGGTCCTAGATAGGATTTTGCTACTGGGAACATTTGACTCTGGTGCCTTTTTTCTTTGTTTTAAGTACAGAATGGTATCATATGAAAACAAAACACGAACTTTGGAGTTAGACTGCTATTAGTTCAAATTTTGACTCTATCTTAAGTAGTTTGACTTTGGCAAGTAACTTCTCTGACCCTAATTTTTTCATATTTAAAATGGGGGTTCTATCTAACTGGGATATTTAATATATATATCAATTTATCTTTAAATCTTTGTGTCAGGACTCAAAATAACTGTAAACACACAATAATTTATTCCACTTAAAAGAAGTCAAGAGATAGAGAGTCTAGCACTGGTACATCTGCTCCCTGAAATGGCCAGCCACTTAGGCTCCATTTAAACTCTTTAATCTGCCATTCTTAGCACATGAGTTCTATCCTCAAAGTGGATGTTGGAGCTCCAAGCCATCTTCCTCATTCCAGACAGCAGGAAGGAAGATGGGGCATGGGGCAAAAAGTTTAGTTCCCAGTTGAGTTCTCTCTCTTTCATTTGTCCTAGAAGTCCTGTACAATACTTCCATTTTGTTTCTTATTGGCTAGAACTTAGCGACATAACCTCATGTAGCAGCAGCAGGAGACTGGGAAATGTAGTCTTTTAGCTGGAATAAAAATGTGAATTGGTTACTAAGGAAGAAGTGGAAAGTGATTTTCGCTGTCAACCAGGAATCTCAGTCACGATGTTCTCAAAAAAACTCTTCATGGCCCCCCTCCTTATCTTAGCAAATTCTATCACTATCCACCAGATAGTTTACTCTGAAAATCTGAGATTCATTCACCAATCCTTTTTTCCCTTCATTCCCCATATCCAAATTAGCAGCAATACCACAGTTCTAAAATACATCCTGAAATCGGAACCTTCTATCACTACTTTTAAATCCGCAATTCAAATCACCATCGTCTGTCATCTGGATTCTTTCATTTGGCTCCTGATTGATTCCCTGCTTCTTGTATTGCTTTCCACAGATCATTGCCTGCACAACAAACAGAATGATTTCCTAAAAAAAAAAAAAAAAAAAAAAAAAAAATTGAGATTGTATTGTTCCTTTGCTTAAAGTCCTCCAACAGCTTCCCATTGCAATAAAAATAAATGTCACCTTCTTATTTGGCCTATAAGGCCTGACGTGGTTTGGCTCCTGCCTCTGTAAACTCATCATCTACCCCTTGTCCCCAGGTTCTCATGCTCCAACCACAGTGGCTACCTTCCTGTCCCGCGAATGTACCAAGTATGTACTACCTCAGACTTTTGCTCTGGAAGATTCGCTCTCATTTTTGCATGGCTAACCCTTTCTGTATTAGTCAGGGTTCTCCATAGAAGGAGGAGAATCAATTGTTTTTTTTATATTTTTAAGGAGATTTTATTATGGAGAATTAGAGTATGCCAATATGGAGACCACAGTGTGCTGTCTACAAACTGGAGACCCAAGATAGCTGGTGGTGTAATTCAGTCTGAGTCTGAAGGCTGAGAGCTAGAGGAATTGACGGTGTGAATCCCAGTCCAAAGGCAAGAGAAGATGAAATGAGATTTCCCAGCTCAAGTGGTGAGACAAGAAACAGGGAAGTGGGAACAAATTCCTCTTTCTTCCATGTTTTGTTCTATTCAAAATGGATTGACTGATGCCCAGAGTGGGGAGGGCAATATATTTTACCGAGTCCACTGATTCCAATGCTAACTTCATCCGGAAACCCTCACAAACACACCCAGGAACGATGTTTAATCTGGACATCCCTTGCGTGGTCCCGTCAAGTTGACACAAAAATTAACCATCACACCTTCCCGCAGTTTGGGTTTCAGCTCAAACATTTTTCCCTCAGATAGGCCCTTTCTGACCATCTTTCTAACTTCATGTCCAAGACATCCTTTGTCTCGCTATCTAATTATGTTCAATTCAGGGCTTGACATGTGCTTCCACCCTGATCCTTTAAATAGACAAAAAATTTGGCCATGTGCTGAACTGAGCACGGTGTGGAGGAAGATGTATTCTCCTCATCATTAGTGGCGAGTAAATGCATTGGCTAAAACCTCTGTAGAGGGCACTTGTACAGTATCTGCTATACTTCATGAGGGAAAGAGACTATGGCCGAAGTAGGAGTTCAAAAACTTGTTGAAAGAACGGTGAATTTGAAGATTAAATCACAGAGTATCTGATTCCAGTTCTTTTTGACTTCCTTTTTTTCTCCATAGCTTTCATCCTATATTTAAAGTGTCCTCTGCTAAGATGCTAACACGTATCCTTTGAAGTAAAATTTCTGGCTGGGTGCAGTGGCTCATGCCTGTAATCCCAGCAATTTGGGAGGCCGAGGCGGGCGGATCACTTGAGGTCAGGAATTCAAGACCAGCCTGACCAATATGGTGAAACCTCGTCTCTACAAAATATACAAAAATTAGCTGGGTGTGGTGGTACGTGCCTGTAGTCCCAGTTACTTAGGAGGCTGAGGCAGGAGAATTGCTTGAATCCGGGAGGTGGAGGTTGCAGTGAGCTGAGATCATACCTGGCAACAGAATGAGACTCTGTCTCAAAAAAAGAAAAAAAAAAAAAGTAAAATTCCTCAAATGGGTGCATCCCAGTTCCTGGGTGCTAGGCCTCAGAATAAACCTAGTACATCTTCCTGGATTGTCAGTTTATTTGAAGGTTTGTGAAAAAAAAACTTATCAGAAAGAGTATGGACATATTAAAAATGTGAGGGCCTTTTGATCTACTTTCTAGGTCCCTGGGGGAACAAGCTCAGTGTCTTTGACACTAGGGGCTATTTGATGAAGTTTGAAAAGCACTATTTAAAGGTAGCTCTTGGTGGATGTTTGCATTTTGATAGAGAATTCTTCAATCCATCATAAAGTATTTTTTGAGGAATTATGCTTCCTGGGTTTAGCTCAGGGCAGTAGGTGCTGGATCAATCAAAAGTCTTCCTGAAATGCTAGTGAGAAAGCAATATCCAGGAAGCCTTATGTTTGTATATTCTGTTATTCTCTTCAGTTTGCAAACTGCTTTAACATACATTATTTCATCTAATTAGCTCCTCACATCAACCAAGTTGAGTATAGGCATGCAAAGAATTAAACACTTCAAACAATATTACATTTTAAAATAACTTAAATGTAATTCCCCAGAGTCCTGCATCCTTAGTTCCAGTCTCTAAAGGGGAATTTCTTGCATATCTTTCCAGACATATTTTATTAAGCACATACCATCTCAGATCTTTGGGTGTGATCTCTATGTATATTTTTCATAGGCAAATGAGGAGTAAACTACAATATATTCTGCTTTTTAAAAAAAGTATACCGTTTTACATTGGAATGTAGTGTTTTATTGTATGAAGTACCCAAAATTCAGTTAATTCTGAAGGTGGGGGGACATTTGAGTTGTCTTCAGTATTTTGCTGTAATAGCTGATGCTCTTAGGAACATCTTTTACATGATGATCATTTTTTTTTCTCTGCCCATATAAATAAAATAAATAACACATTCCAAGGAGAGCAATTGCTGTGTTTAAGGCTGTGTTTAGTTCTGCTAAATATTGTAAAATTGCCCTCAAAAAATTTTTAACATATGCATTCCCCACTAATGGTATATGAGAGTAACTTTTTCCTACACCATGGTCAATTCAATATATGAAAAATTTTAATTTTATTTTAAAATATTGTTGATATGTATAAATTTAAGAGGTACAAGCACAGTTATGTTACATGGATATGTTGGTAGTGGTGAAATCTGGGCTTTTAGTGTAGCCATCACCCAGATAATGTACATTGTACCCATTAAATAATTCCTCATCCCTCATTCCCTCCCACCATTCCGAGTCTCTAGTGTCTATTATTTCACACTCTATGTACAAGCACGTGAACAATTTAAAAAGTTTTGTTAATAAGATAGGGAAAAGGCCTGGCTCAGTTGCTCACGCCTGTAATCCCAGCACTTTGGGAGGCTGAGGATCACTTGAGCCCAGGAGTTCGCGACCAGCCTGGGCAACAAGTGAGACCCTGTCTCTACCAAAAACTAAGTGTGGTGGTGTGTGGCTCTGGTCCCAGGTACTTGGGAGGCTGAAGTAGGGGGATTGTTTGAGCTTGGAAGGTTGAAGCTGCAGTGAGCTGTGATTGTGCCACTCGACTTCAGCCTGGGTGACAGTGAGACATTGTCTCAAAAAAAAAAAGAGGAAAAAAATCTTATTTTTACTAGCAGTTATTTAATTGAGATTGAGCATTTCCCCCCCCAGTGTTTCAAAGCTATTAGATATATTATATATATATATATGTATATTTTTTTTTGGTAAACTCTCTGGTTGTATTTCTCACCTAACTTCATTGAGTTGTTGGTCTTTTTCTTTCTTTTTTTTTTTTTTAATTTGTAAAGATTCCTCATATGTTAAAGATAGGTAATTAACCCTTTCTGCCATATGTATTTCAAATATTTGTTCCCATTTAATTGTTTGTTTATTGGTGTTTATGAGCAACCGTCTACATTAAATTAGGTGAAAGTGGGCTTAATTAGAAACATTAAGGGCTTATGAACTGGCAGAACAGCTTGGAGAGAGAGCAAGAAATTGAGAGAAAAGGTCAGAGGTTGAGTCATGGAGCCGGGACTTTCTAGCTTTATGATCTTGGACAATCACTTAATGTCAGGAGACCTCAGTTTCCTCAACTTTAGAGTGGGGATAATTACAATACTTCCTCATAGAGTCATAAAGATTTAGTGACATTCATGCATGTTAAAGTGCTCTATAAATAAGACTAAGTGAATATTAGTTTTTATTACTGATTTGATAACTGAACTATCTTGCATATTGGAATACAGTACTTCAGGAAATAGAAATTTCTGTCGTCAATTATTTTTTGAAAGACAAAACTAATTTTTATGTCTCAGATGTTTTTCTGCTGTTAGCATATCTCATGATTCCTGCTGATTCCATAATTAAGGAAGACAAATTTCATTCTAATATTGGAACTAGAAATAAAAGATACAATTATTAAATGCTAATGAGTAATAAAGGATGATATGACACTAGTATTGAAAAGTAAATTAATTATATTGAAATGGTAAGGCTATATCTTACTTCCTTTTTCAAAATGTCACTGGAAAAATTTGCTAAAATGCAGTTCTTTTATTTGCAGTTTTTTTAGATTATAAAAATAGGATGTTTTCAGTTTTGTATATGTGTAAAGAGAATGTATAGAATTAGAGCTTTAAAAATTTTTGATCTAGAAACAACCTAGACATCATCTAGCCCCTGGCTTGTTTTCACAGATGAGGAAGTGAGAAATTCCGAGAAGCATAGTGACTAGTGAGTCATGTGGCTATTGCAGAACAAAAGGGAAGAAATCTTCTGTCTCCTGTCTCCCTGTGTAGGGCCCCTTTCACTGTCCTATGTCATTTGGATGCATAGGTTGCATTTCTGCTACATGTTTGGGGTTTATGACACTAGCTATACCCCTTAAACTTGTTAAATGAACAGCCATGGTTTTTGAGCCTAGAGAGTAATAAGTTATACTCAAATTTTGCTCTTTTGGAGATACGATTTCAAGCTGCTTTAACCAAAAAAACAGGCTTTAAAAACTCTTCCTATACTTCTGCTTACATTGAGTTTTAATATTCTATCAAACATTTTAAACTTTTTTTCCTATTTACTTCAGGTTTTCATAGAGTAAGGACATTTTAGAAGAACCCAAGAAGCAAATATGTTCAAGTTTTTAAGTTATACCAACACACATTTTTCTGTTGATATTCAAGCATAATATATATTTAAAGCATGCAAAGTTGATCCAAACTATAAAATCCTGGCATGACTAGCAAATTTATTTCTGTTTTTTTCCTTGCAAATTTTAGTTTTGTTTGTGTTTTAGGCTAAATGTTAAAATTAGGGAAATAAATACCAATAAATTGACGTGTTCTTCCTGTGGTTAGTGTGATTTTAATTTTAATTTATTTTTCTTTAAAGTATCTTGAGTTCATGTAAAATATTAATTGAAATGAAAGTTGCTTGTAGGTTTCTTGTATAGTATAAGAAAAAAGACTGGAGATATCCCTCCACCTCCCCATTCATCCTTCTCATAGCAGAAGCAATGCCCCAATTTGGTGATAGTAAGAGAAGGTCATTGACATCAGCTTGCATACACAGCTTTGGTATCATGCTAAATAGAATAAAACAGCATTTAACAAATTCATCTTGGACAGTGAACATTCTGAAAGGTGAGAGAAGAGTCAACAGGGAAGGTGAAATGAGGTTGGAAACTG